TTATTTGGACTGTAACAGCACTAAATGCATGAGAATTCAACGCTGAAACTTTATTATACAGTGAAGTTAGTTTTGCATGCTAAAGCACCGCAGTGCTAAGACAACTGTTAAAGAAATCCTCTTAGCAATGTCCAGGGAGGGGTCTCCCCTCTCACATCTGGCTCTAAACCTGGCAGGACTTCTAAAGCCTTCTCCGTTTAGGCTGTGGCACTTGGGAGACGCAGGCCTTCCTTCTGCATGGGAGCTGACATTTTGGAGACATTCTTGCAGCTCTACATCCGGGCTGGCTCACGGCGCATTTTCCACAGGAGCCTGGGTCTTCACGGGAGCCAAGCGCCACTACTTCAGCTGCAGGAACGGCAGCTCCTCGCGCGCTGTAAAACAGCCGCCTCTGAGCACATACCCAGATGCGGGGTCCCGAGGGAACGCTGCCTTCCAAGCTCAGAGTCGCTTCCCAGGACAAAGCATTTGGATTTCTTCTCTCAGTTACAACTAACGCAGCTGCAAATATGATCAAAAATATCTAATCCTCTTAACTGCTTCTGCAGCATGACTCCGCTCGCTGCAGAGGACAGTGCCGTGGTTTCAGTGTGCTGCCTGCATTCCCACCCAGCTGCCTATAAACCTCGGCTTTTACACCATTGTTCGTTTCTCCCCGTTGATTTCTTGGAAGCAGAAGTAGGTGTTTGGCTCCTTGCAATGAAGCTGCAGGGGTATGTCAGCGACGGGTGGAGGCCAGGAGCAACCAGGTCCCAGGGCTGTGCTCAGCTCTCGGCGCTCCTTCACTGAGCAGGCAGGATCCAGTTGGGATTTCATCTTTGCTCCAGTGAAGCCAGAGCATGTCTGAAAGCTGCCAAGGAGAATTGCTTGGAAAAAGCCCTCTTTGCTCCTCATACAACCGTTGCACTTGCAGAGGGAAAACTCTCGGCATAGCTGTGCTTGACAAGACCAGCCAGCTCCCCCTCCATCGGCACGGGGCCGCGGGCTGCGGCAGCACCTCTGTCTCCCGTGGACGACTCCAGCTCACCCACCTCGCTCAGCTGCATCTCCGACTCACCTCCTCCAGCCCTCCCAGAAGGTTTTCCAACTGGGGCTCCACACAGACCATGGCTTCAAGCCAACACCACTAGGAATTTCTCCAGCCTATATTAATTCTGCTTGGACTAAGATTACAAGTAGCGTAGAGGAATTGTTCTAGGAGATCTAGTCACTTTTTATACACTTAATGTATTTACTGTGGTTTTATTTTAGGTTTACAGAGCTCAGACCACAAAGCTGCCTTGGGAGCTTGCTCACACCTGTAGTGGGGGTCTCCCACCACCCCAGAGAGGATCCCACCAAGGCGAGTTTCCTTCACATGCTTAAACCCCTCAGCTCTGCATGGCAGGTGGATGCAGTTCTTCACCTAAGAGCATCACCCATCAGTAGAGACTAAAAAACCTCCCGGCATCACATATAAATAGAGACGTGAGGGAAGAGGGAGACTGGGAGGCAAACAGGCATCGAGAACATCATCTCTGCGTCCAGAAAACCAAGGTATGTCCTACACTGACACTGTCCCCCAAGGCTGCTGCCACCACACAGGGACACTGATAATAGGCAAGAAAACCAGCGAAGTTGGGGTCTAACTCCAGGAGAAGCTCTTCTTAAGTGCACGAGGACAGCCTGGCTGCTCGGGCTGGGGCAGCCAGGTGGGTTTTGTGACTTTTCTTTGCAACCTCGACCAGCACGAGGTGGAGCGCCCGTGGATCACTGCCCACACAGGCTCCTGCACACCTCCAAGCACAAACACAGGGGTTTCACAACTAGCTGAAGAACTTTTGAGAGCACAAGCCCTTCAGCAGTGTGCAGAAGTGTTGCCACTGAAGTGCCACCTTCAGATAACAAGGAGCATACAGGGCCCAGCACCAGAAACCAGCACAGCCCCCAGGATCTTGAGTTGGGATAGGGCACACGCTTAGCACAGCGCAAGCTTGTCCTCACCCCCCAACCCATCCTCGAGCCCACAGACCCAGATAACCTCTACAACCACAAAACCAACACGTTACTAAACCTGCCCAAAAGACCAAAATCTGCTCAGAGTACAGCCCCCACCAGCGAGCAGCAAAGCCTTCCACTGCTGCCCAGCCTCGACGCAGCTCAGGAAATCCTCCACAAAGAGCCCCCACCTACCCCAGAGCCAGCTCCAGCAAGGCAGCAACCCCTCCAGGTGCAGCAGCTTTGTGGGAGCTGTTGGCCCTGAAGAAGGTTCAGCAGGGACCAATTTCCTGGTAAGGAAGCAAACATTGTTCTCTCTGAGGTGTTTGATGTTTTTAACCAGCTTGGGATGGAAGGAGTTTGACTCTCCGGCTCCCTGGGAGAAGGTGGAAGGAAACCATGCGAGTGTCTTGAGGTTTGTTGTCTAACTCAATTAACCAATTACTTCCAGGTCAAGAAGGGGCAAAGCTATAAATGCTGCTTGCTACTATAAATAATGTTTGCTCAAGGGTGGTGCAGGAGCAGGAAGCGTTAGGTGGGGGGGGTTTAACTTGGGCTTGAAATGAAAGCAAATAGCATGAATTGCTTCCTGCTTCGAGCAAACCTGCTGCTGTTTTGCTGTTGCCCCTTGGAGGCTGAAGTGAGCCAGCGCACAGCACTGCCTCTTGTCTTGGGGAACTGCAGGAATTCAGGCTGGGGAATGAATACACAAATATCCCTTCAGTGCTGCAAAACTCGCCTCCAAACACTGCTGACTGTCCTGGTGTGGGACCTGCTGTGGCCCAGCTGGATGTGTGTCTGCCTTCAAAATACCATTATTAGACCAAAATGCCCATTTATGTAAAAAGAGGTGGTGGAAGGATGGGTGGGAAGCCTAGGAGAAATTGATGCGAATTTCTCAGAGCTCAAACGAGAACAGACAAGTCGGTTGGTGCAGATCAAAGCAGGAATTTTCCATGGAGCCTTAGGGAATGGGGCTCCGGTGAAAAGGTAAAGGGAGCAGAGAGCTGGTTGTGGGAAGGCAGTGTGCCCCCGTGGAGGGGCCTGGGCTGGCCGTGGCGGGGGCACGGGGAGCACGGAGTGGCCGTGGGGTGCTCTGGCTGCTCGGGCAAACGGACGTGGACATTTTCCTGTGGGGTGACTCTGTCCGTTCTGCTCGTGGCACCGTGTGAGGTTTTTTTAGGCCACAAACCAGAGAGATCACCTCACCCAGGACCCCAGCTCCCAAAAGGGCAGAACCAGCATCATGGAGGGCATTAATTGGTGTTAAGGGACAGGTTTTTCCCAAGGGGCAAACTAGCCCACCAAAAAAAATGAATGAGTCCCTGGAACTGTGTGAAACAGAGCGATGCCAGCCAGATGTCTCACCCCAAACTGCAGCACCCACGGCAAAGGCTCTGGAGGCCACTGCTGGGCTGCTCCCGAAAGGGCCACAGGAACCCCTCAGCAGAGAGACCGGGGCAGGGGGGCTGGGGGGGCCACAGGTCTCGGGTGCTGCGTTCCCCTCCTGCCCCAGCAGACCCTGCTCAGAGCTTGGGCACGTACCCTGCAGGGGCTGGAGGTGCTGGGGGAAGCCCCCCCGAGCCATCCAGCCCCACGGAGCCGCGCTGCTTTTGCCTCCCGCCAACCTGGATTTTGCCATTTGCTGATCGGGAACATCTCTGGTGCGAAGCAGCGACGGCTGAGCCCCAGCTCACCCCGAGCTGCCCTGCGTTCCCCTTCCAAGCAGGGGGACACAGCCCTTTCCGTCCCGAGGAGCCGTGCCGACCCCTCGCCCCCTGTAACCTCCTCTCCGCGCCGCTCGCTGGGGAGCAGCTGCCGGGGTGAATCATTTCAGCATCCTCAAAGGGCCGAGGACTCTGCCAAGCTTCATGCGACTTCTGGCTGTCACTCTGCTCCATCTGTGTTTCTCCCTGGCCCTTTGAAATCCCGACGCCTCTCCTGCAGTGCCCGCTGACCCCCTCTCTGGAGGAGGTGGGTGCTCTCGCCGCAGGGACGCAGAGCTGACAGCAGAGGCTGTTGGGCGGCCTTGGGCGTTTTTGCCATTTTACGTAGAATCACGAGTTGTTTTGCTGTCCTGTTCCCTCTCTGCCAGCCTGTGAATTGGGGACCTTCTGCAGAGAGGGAACAGCAGGATCCAGGGATGTTCACAGAACGTGCTGGCTACCGGCAGCCTTTTAGAAGAGGGCAGGTCCCCCCTTTTTTGCTCCTGCTAGAACATCTCTCCATTTCTGCCACGTAGCAAGTGCCAAGGCAGGCTTTGTCCTAGAGCTGCCTTTGATACCACTCCAGCCACCCAACACAGCACCAGCAGAGACACTAAAACCCCTTTGCTGTTCATTATGTTTCTTTCATGATCAAAAAAAAAAAATAAAAATCAGTCTATTTAAAGGTTTTTAATCATAGCAGGAGCTTGGCCAATCTCAGCTGTCCAGAGCTTGGGGGAAGTTTTATGCTGCTGCAACCTTCTGCTGTGGTGATACTGAGTCATCAGCCACAAAGCTGACCTGTTGTTCAAGTTGCAGATGTCAAAACTTGACCGCAGGCTGGAGAGATCCGAGCACCAACGCTTTTTTCCAGGCACCGGGGTGTCCGGATGACGGGTAAGGAAGAGTCACGGGCCAGCCTTTACGGGGACTTTTCCCTTCACCACAAGCCATGTGTGGGCTTGAGCCACAGCAGTGGTCCCAGCCTGGGGACACCTCGTAACCCAGGGTGAGTTTAGAAGCTGGAGGGGACTGGAGGACTGAGGGGGATTTGGTTTAGTGCAAAAGTATTCAACAAGCCTTGTCGTTTCTGCGTGAGCTGCCCACTTTGCATGGGGCAGAGAGAATTACCCTGCCTTGTCTGCTCTTTTCAGCTCAGCCAAACTTCCCCCCAACCCAAATACGACAAAAACCTCTTTTGGACAGCTTTGCCGTCGAATTTAAAAAGTAGAAGACTTCAAAAAGAACAAGTCACATGTTTTGTTGTTCTCCCTGCCGTCTCCTCCCTCCGCTTCCAGTTGAATACACAAACAGAAATACTGCACGCTGGTTTAATTTTCAATCACATTTTTTGAAAATGAATTCCAAGATACAGTACAGCATCTTAGTGTTCTACACAAAGCAAGCTTTCAGCAAAAGGTCAGAGGATCTTAGATGGTGTAAAAATATATCTTAAATAAAATAGTTTCTATAGGAGAGCAAGCTGTGTTGTACATCTCTAGGTCCTTAGAATAATTTACAGAAGGCAGAGGTCTGGTTGTACAATCCACACACTAGAAAAGAGTTAGTGTACATTCACGCTACAAAGTTAGAAAAGGTTGAAGTTCCTGATGGTTGGGGCAGGTCTCCAAACCCAAGCAGTGGATGCAGTGGGTGCACTAACAAGCGCCCTGTATTTCAAAGTGAGGAAGTTCAACGCTTCCAGTCCATAAAGTCAGGAAGCCGATTGTAACAACTCACCTTCCGAGAGTCAGTCTAGTCATTGTAACTCGTTCCTTTCAACTGGCCAAAAAGAACAACTTCTAGCAATAAAGGGCTAGCTGTTTTCTTTCTTTGTTCCAGTTTGGAGCTGGTAAGCCAGAGCTGCGTTTTCAGTGTTACAGACTAAAATCACGGCTGTCCCTGTGGTTCAAACGACAGCAAAGGATCCTACTATGGTCTGAAATTCCCCAGCCATTTTTAATAAAGAATTAGCCTTTACATGCTCGGACTGCTGAGCGCAACACAGCAAAACCAGGACAGTCACTTCTCCAACCAGGGTAAAACTCTTCCCACCCTAGAGCATCAAATCTGCTATATATTCTAAGTGAAAACCAACCAAAAAAAAAAGCCCAACAGATTTCTCCTCAAATTTCCTCTATGGATCTGCACACCTCTGAAGCAAATAACACGCAAGTTTTGCCAATTGAGAGCTTGGCCAGTGCCACGTTTTAGAGCAGCACGAAGTGATCCCAGTCCCTGGAAACAGCAGCTGCATCCAGCTGTGAGGGCCCTGCAGCTGGAAAGGCCGGGCCCAGCCGCGGCGGAGCAGAGCGGAGCTCGGAAAACGCCGCCTTAGTCCTTCGCCTCACCTCCCGCCGAGGGGGACGGCACCCCAGAATTGTGCCAACACCCCCCAGTGCGGGGCGGGGGGGACACGCGCCCACAGCCCGCTGCAGGGGGTGGGAGCGCTGCAGGAGCTGTCGGTGCAGCACCTGTCCCAGGCTTCCCCATTGACTTTATAGAAATTACCACGTTTCCAGAATAGAAAACTTTTCACGCTTTCCGCCCCGAAGGCGGCAAGTGCTGGCCTTGCAGATGCCATCTTTAAAAATGAAGAAACAGTAGAAAAGTCCCTTGAAGTGTTTAATATCCTAGATTACAAGCCTTTAGGACTCGTTCGGTTTCTTACACCACTAAGATGGTTTATCCTCCACACCTCACTCCTCATTCCCAAACTACAGTTCTACTCCTGCGCTGGCAGTTCTGCAGTGTCAGGACTGCACGTACTAAAAGGAGATGGATATAATCTAATTTACACTGTTTATTAAATAAAGTAATTTCTTAACTGAGAATACTTTTAATCCAGGAGAACTGGAAAAGCCTTACACACTGGGCCTAGCCTACTCTACAGCATCCCCTTAGGGAATGCGATGTTCACATTTACACACCCACCCACCCCAAAACAGTACACTCTCCAAGAAGAAAGTCAAATGCATGATAGGAGGGGCTCTGAAAAGGTAGGAAGGCAAAATGGTCATTAAGATCTGCCTAAAAATAGCTAAATAGTGCAGTGAAATGCTTTTAAATACCACAGACACCTCCACTGACTGGCAGCCAGGTTTATAAGCAGCTCTGAAGACAATTTCTAGCTGAGCTTTAGTGAACTGGGTGTTCCCAGCCGGAGTCCCGAGCGGTGAGCCTGGCCTACCACCAGTATGGCCAGTTCCAGTACGGGAGCAGGGCGTTCCAATTTTCATTTGCCCCTCTTGCCACGGCCTCTCCTGGAAGAAGCTTTGCCCGTGCTCCCCGTGGAGGAGCTGGCAGAAGACGCCACCGCAATGTTGATCTGTCCTTCCTGAATCTCCTGTCGGGTCTCAGCGGGGAGGTGATTGATTTTCTGTTGCGTCTCTAAGTAGAACATGACATCCCGCAACTGCTCCTGGATCTCGGAGATCTGCAGGTCCTTCTGTTCACACGTTTCCTTTAACACTCTCTCCTCTTCCTTTAGTTTGTTCTGAAGCAAGGCTTGATTCGCTCGCAAGCACTTATTCAGTTCTTGCTCCTCCTTCAGCTCGTTGGAGAGTTTAGCCACTTTGTTATTCAGCTGAGAGCACCTTACAAACAGAAGCACAAGTCAGGAAAGCAGCACGCTACGCCTAGATCAAACACTACGGCATCCTTTTGATTTCCAATCCTTAGGGCAACTGGCCCCCAGCCCCACCAAGACCCCCTGGAATTTGGTTTTCTGGCAAAAGATGGGCAAGGGGAGGCAAGGCAAGAGGACTCTGAAATGCCCCTGAGGATTTTTCTACCCAGTTTAAGGCTTGCCAGCACCTGTTTGCCCTCATGGTGTTACCTGCACATGAAATAGGATGTGGTGAAGCCAAATCCCTTCCTGTGTCCCACAAACTGCACAACCTGGGGGGATTCCTCCCCTTGCAAGTTGGGCAACTCCATCTTGTACCAGGTGCCAGCAGGCAGGGTGTGCTGGGGAGCACGGGACTGTAACCTTGAACACGCATCCACAACTTAGGGAATAGGTGCCAAAAAGGGCACAGAGATGACTCGGGGTCCTGAGAGTGCCAAGGGCAGTCAGGGACTCCCAGATGCTGGCACCCACCACACTCTTGAGTACAAAGCCCTGAAAATACCACTTCCCTCAGAAGCAAGATGCCCCCCCAGGCTCTCAGTAGCCTCACGTTTCACACAGTGCCTCCCTGCTCCTAAAAACTCAAGTGCTTTTGCCCTGAAAGCTTGCTGGCATCATCCACAAGCTCCTTTCCCCTCAGCAAGGCGGGCTGCAGGAATCACAGCTCACTAGCCATGGTTGCCTGTTCCAAGCAGGACAGCCAGAGAGGTGGCAGCACCAGGGGCCTGCTGGGCTAGGAGGGACCAAGCACACAGTCCCGCCTAGGGAGCTGGAACACAGTCTGCACAGTCCCTGTGCTTGACATCTCTCAGCCAGACACTTCCTAAGCTCTCCGTTTCTCCCTGGGCTGGGTGAGATGGCTCCGTGGAGCTGCCTTTCTTCTCCTTGGAGGTATCCGCCCATTGCAAACCAGACTGGCGTCTCCTTCTGAGCAGGCAGAGGAAAGATTTCTGAATGCTAAATATGCAGACCATGTAAAAAGAGCCAAGAGCCCAAAAGCTGTGTTCCACTCAACAGGCACTTTCAATTTGTGAACACCTACAGAAATGAGAGCTTTTTTTAAAATAAGCTCTGTTCTCAGTATACCAGTTTAAATAGCTCAAAACTGCCCAGGAATAGCAAGGGGTTGGGTTTTTTTGTTTTTTTTTGTTTTTTTTTTTCTTTTTGGATGTCAGTGCACGGAGTTTTAATGGCTGCATGGAACTAAACCTGGCAGCGGTACCCACTTCCTTTCGACAGACTGCTTTTCTTTGAGCAAGTCATTCAGCCTCTGTTCCAGACTGTCACACTTCTCAATGGTCTCTTTAAATTTGGTCTTCATGTTGTTAATCTGTAAAAACAAACACACAGGCGTTTCAAACAGATCAAAGTCCTCTGCACTTTCATTATGACATTCAATTTTCTGGAGCGGTTTCTAGACTTTGACCACTTACCACGTCCAGGTAAGCACAAGTTTTGAGTCAAGAAAAGGTTTAATTTCGACGAAGACCCCCTGCATTACACTTTGCAGTACCCCGACAAGGAACCACGTTGCCGTGGAAGCTGCTCACACAGAACAGCAACTCAGGCTGCAGATCTGTGCCAGGCACCCCATTCAAACAAAAGCTGCATCAGATCCTTAACTTCTTATTGACTGCAGTTAAGCATTCATTTAGCCATTCTCTCAGACGTTTTTGTACCTGTCAGCAAACTTAAATTTCCATCTTAAGGCTTTACAACGCCAGGCTTTTGCTCATTTTAAGCTAAACCTCAAATAAGTATAGTCTGAAAATTAACATGCTCCTTTGCTCAGCACTGACTCAGCAGCTCGCTGTCATAAGGCGCTGACCTACTGACACGAATATCTTACTCATGCAAAACGCAAACAGAAACACACGTACGTTGGCTTCCTCTTCCCCTCTGCTTCACAACTCGACACTCTTACTGCTGAAGAAAACCAATTCTCTAGGCATGGCACAGAATACGTTAAAAACTCCAACATAAGACTTGTTTTTTTCTGTATTAGGGTCAAAAGCATGCCTGCCTGTAGTGGAGGCAGGAATTTAAGGGAAAAATGCTCTCCTGGAGGAGCAATCTGGATAAATGTCAGTGTCAGCACACATGGTGCCTTCACTGATGCCAGAGTCGATGCAGAGCAGGTTTTAAGCCTTCCGGCCTTAATCACTGAGTGTTTATGCAGCTGATGGTTCATTTGGGGAAGTGGCCTGAGCGCTGATAATGGAACACACTGCGTAGTGGCACGGAGCCAGACAAGACTCACATGGAGCAAGTGCCACGAGTAAAATTGTAAGGCTCTTTGAACATGAAACTGCATTTGGTGCGTATATCATAGTCGCTTCACTCTGAGGTTGCTTTGTGCATCGTGTTTCATGGTCTTGTGCAAGATGATTTTTGCTGTATCTTTTCTTTTTACAGGGCCCACCATAAGATCTTTGGGATGTGCTCTAGACCAAGGTCAATGACCACTATTTCAATGGTCATAATTGCTACATTTATGATGCTACTTAACTGCAGATACTAAATGCTTAATTAGAAGTCATGTAGAAAGTTCAGTTCAGGACCCAACCTTAAATCCTGATGCACTTTAAACCTAGTTGAAAGGATCCACGTAGAGTGAAAGGCATTAAAATATTCTCACTGGGTTTTTGCCCGTGACATTTTGAAGTGGTCCTGCCCACAGGATGCTTTATAGGAGGAGACTCTGAACTTCTCCCAAAGGGTGATGAGGAGAGATGGGGGATCAAAAAGAAAGGGCAAATCAATATGCATTTGGAGCACAAAGACAGCTTCCCCTTTCTGCAGCCGCACAAATTAAAGTCATATTGTCTATGCTACACTAACCCTCCCTAGAGACACACGTCAGCCTGAGACGGATGGCAGCAGCAAGCAGGGATCCTGCAGTACCACAGACTTGCTTCCACCACTGCTGCAGTTTCCTGAGCAGCACATTTTAAATCAACCTTCCATCTAGGTGGCGATCTACCTACTTCTGCACCACCGAGCAGCAAATTGCTAGATCTGAGCACTGAGATAAGGGATAGATCTTGGAGCCAATTTTCTCAGCTGGTAGTGAAACAGGCTACGTGAGGCCACGTCACACAACGATCGGGCTGTAGGAGAGACTGAACAGCTCCATCTCCCATTTAACTTCACAGCATCCCGGGGCCTGTTTCAGCAGTTTCACACGTGCCCAGAGCAGAGCTCACCTCTTCAGCCGTATCCTTTTCTATTCGGACAATCTTGTTTTCCCAATAGATTCGCTGTGATTCCAGCTGGCTCGTTAGCAAATACGAGTACTATAAACACAGAAGATACACACAGAACGGTCAGCTTTTCCGTAAGGATGGCTCCGCTGATTAAGAACCCCAAAGGGCTCCAATATACAAATCAATTTAATCAGATGAAATTGAGCATACAGGACATTCTCAACATATGCGCAAACTGCAGATCCAGCAGATGTGTTTCACCAATTTGGTTTCCAAATCAAATCACTTGAAGTCAAGGAAAGCCTTTAGAGCACAACAGCAAGGAGCAAGTAAAAGTTCTGCCAAGCTGTACCCAGTATCATGCCAAAAACCTTTTGAAGAGATTTTTCATTGTAGTAGTAATAAATCTCTACAAGTTTCACGCTCCACAGGAAACTGAAGCATCAACCATCCCCATCAAGAGTCTGAGATCCCAAAGGCTGAGCTGCTGCTCATTCCCAGCCTAAAACCCAAGGCAAAAGGGTAAATGCACATTTCTAGCTTCACAGTAAGAACATCCCTGGGAAAGCATCCTCAGCTGTGTACAACTATTCACAATTACTGTTCTCCAACATGTCTGGCCCCTTCCAACGTTATTTTGGCATCTGAACAAGGATATATGCCTTACATCCCCTCTTTTTCCTTCCGGTTCTGCAAAGGAGTTATGAGAAGGTTGGAAAATGTGATCATTTCTTATCACCAGGCTAATAAGCACCAAATCAGGCATTCACTACAGATTAAACCTGTGCAAAAAGCCTTGAACACTCTCAGGAATATCTGAGTGCCAAAATACACTGTCAAATTAATTCTCTCTAGAAATATTTAGATCTCATAAGCTTGGTAGAGAGGTCTTACATACTTTAAGCACCAACCGCCCAGAAAAAAGGGGTTAAAACCAGCTGGTTTTGCATCTAAGTATTACTCAGAGAAGTCACGGAAAAGCAACCAAATATTTATGTGAGCAATAAGCTTACAAAGCCTGGTCTCTATGGGCTGCTCCTCCTCAGATACCCTTGTGTCTAATGCAGCTGAAATCATTCTGCAGTATATTTGCTCAGTGGAGCACTAATTTTGAGTTTCTCTCCTTTACTGTTCTAGTTCAGATAGGAGAAGCAGGCCAACAGGTACAACCAAAAGAAAAAAAAAAAAAAGAAAAGAAAAAAAAAATCATTATCTGTTCAAGAGAAGGGAGCAGAACGGGGCTGTTGGCTTTCTTTGACAGCCGAGGTAAGCACACAGCTATGGATTCCTACATACCTGTTCCATTTACAAGCTAAACTACTCCAACTGACAGCTCCACACACATCCTGGCTCTTCGGACAAGCCACAGATCCTCAAGGAAAGCTCTGGTGAGTTCGAGCATTCAGAACCATTTCTCTCTCCGCTGACCCGAGTGTTTGTAGCAGCATAACCAGCTAACCTTCAATCTACTGCTGAACACAGGACACAACTGCAGCCAGCTTACGCTTCGCTGCATTGGCTCTGCAGAGCCAAGAAGTTTTGGTTGTTTTGTTGGGTTTTTTTTAAAAAAAAAGGCAGTAAAAACATCCTGCTTTTGCCTGAAGATGATTGCCTACATGCAGAGAGCAGGTTTGCTGCATAAGCTGATGTAATTTTCCTGTAGTCATATCTGGATTTGAAACACTTCCACACAGCAGCACAATGCAGAGTCTAACAAGCCAAAATATTTACCTCTAATTGTAAGGCATCAATTTTCTCTTCCTGACACATATCTCCCTCACACTCATACTGAACTATCTTCCCATCAGTTTTACTTGCAACCAGTCGATGGACGTAGTTATCTGAAGAGAGAGAAAAAAAAAAAAAAAAAAATTCAACCACAGGGAGTTTTAGCTTAAGAACACCCAGGTTGACACCAGTGGAAATACTTTATGCAGCACAATTAACCATGCAGACTGCTGCAACAGCATATTAGCAAGGCAGAAAGCCAACAACAGATGTATTTGTTATTTAGCAGACTTCGCACAGACACCTTACAGGATATTTATTACAGCAGCCCATTCCCATACCTCAGGGCAAATTGATGGAAAGGGAGTAACAAACACATTCCACAGAGACTACGGGACCGCCCTGGTTCATTACAGAATCATGTTCTCCCTCCTCCATCTGCTACAGACCCACAAAAACTGCTATTAGAGAGGAGACGGATGTTCCCAAAAGACAAGGTATTAGTACAGATGCAAACCCCTTAATCTCCAAGCAAACTCTATGGCAAATATTCTTACTAAGGGGTCCCGAAAGCCGTTTTCCAAACAAGGTCACCCTACAAGAGGGGGAAAACAGAGCGCTTACCTCCAGCATAATCCCAGACTCTGTGGTTGGTCAACTGCATCGCGTAGGTATGCTGGGTCTCCTCAAAGTGTTTGTAAGCGTGTCGACTCACGTACCGGCCGCAGCCTATGTGCCCACATATTAAACAGATCCAGAGGTTCTGTCGACAGAAGGAGAAAACTCTGTACACGCAGCGCTGTCGAGAGGCCTGATCTGCTGCCGATGGCACGCTGGCGCTGTGCACACCCTGTCGCTTCCTCAGGAAGCCACCAGCGCTCGCTTCTCCCCCTCCTTCTCTGAAGCTCTGCTCCACGGGGAGGCTGAACCCCAGGAGGTACCTGCTCATTACAAGGCTGCAGGTGCTGACAGATGGGCACAAACACGGAGGGAAGAATGGGCTTGACCAACGAACGAGGCACCTCAGCAGGACAAGAGCAAGCTCTGAAGAGCACAGGCTAGAAGGGACCACCAAGTTCAGTGCCACTTCACCTGCCTGCTACCATACTCATCACACTCTGGTCAGCTTATATGCTAATACTTCTTTCTAAGAAACAAAGATTCGTCAGAACAGGAAATCTGTGAGGTAAAGATCCCTTCCCAGTACTGATTCCAACTCAAAAGGAAAGCAGATACACCACTGTCTGGTAAAATCAGCCCCAAAGCAGCCACAGAATTAACCCCAAAAGCAACTAGAGCAGCTGTGCAGTCAGATCTAGTCTAGATCTCAGTCACCATCCACCCACCTACTTACTTCTTGAACTCCACACTCAAAACACTTGTTCTCTTCCACTGGCTCAGGCGTTTGGCAGTACCTGCAGACAGGACACCTGAAGGGCAAGAAGCATCATGATTAGACACAAGGAGCTCTATCTTAATATTATGGTAATTAAAAAGAGAGCCAGAGAGCTCAAAGGAAACGCCTGATGCTGCGGGATGCTCCCTATGTGCACACATCTCTTGGTTCACCTTTACCTCACTCAAATTCACCTCCGTTCCACACAAAGCTATTGTTTTTAACCCAGTAAGCGACAGGAAAACAAAGAACGGTTCTTCCAAAGCCATTTCACAGTCTCAGCTTGATCTGGTTTTGCTGCAGTCCAAGCACAGAGAACATCTGCAACCAAGAGCATCAGTGGGGCTGCCAGCAACGTCAGTCTCTGCCAGCGAGCGAAACAGCCACGAGCGAGCTCACGAAACCCTTCCCCACCTCAGCCATAAACACTGCAAGAAGCAGTTGTACGTGTGTTACACATCTCTGAACATTGCTCCTCCAGACTGCTGCCAGCTGGTATCTTCAGGTCTCCATCACCTGCAGGCTTTTATGCAGCAGCTACACACTGTTGTGGAAAGATGCTGTAACTACACACTGCTGAGGAGAGGCTGAGTGACAGAGGGAGGTACCTACACTTTGCAAACGTACCTTAGTATTTAAAACAACCCTAAAGAGATGAGAAGGTGCTTCAGTTTCACCCCAATCCAATGGATTCAGCCTCAGCCCTTCCAGGAAGAACATCCCATAACTGTACCCTAAAAGAATCAGCAGCAGGCACCCTGATATCATTTCTTTTGGAACTGTACCACTGTGCTGCCAGAAAGACAGGAGACCCAAGAGCCAGAAGGTACCTTTGTCCAGACCCCAAGCACTAGGAGCTCAGCTAGGGACAGGGGGAACTGAGGCTGCGCATCCTGCTCTCAGGACTGTTTATGTATTTTTCATTAGCTGCTGGATAAGCTACAGAAATATTCAAGGGAGGAGACAATTGGATTGCAGTCAGCTTTTTATACAAATTCAGGCACTTACAGCCTCTGTGGCGCCTAAGCAAAGTGGACAGGGATTTTCTTTTATCGTTCTTCTAGACCGGGAGCGTAAGTTCTGCTTAAATTGTATATTAGATATTTAAGTGCTATTCTGGATCTTGCTCCTGCGCTGGCTAAGCTCCACTGCTTCAAATTTAAACTGGTTTTGATTTATGGAGCAAAGCAGCCCATAAACTCGAAGAGCTACAAATCTGATTAATCTTACTGAGGTTCTGTTACTTTGGCTTACAAATGATATACAGAGGGATAAAATTTTCCTCACGCTCCTGTCAGAGAATCGGACAGTCAGGGGTACCAGTGACAGAGAAGAAAAGACAGTGAAGACCAGCAGCCTTCTGCTGCACTCTCTCTGACCAGCCAGCGCGCAGTAAAACAGCGTCCAGAAGAATGCAAAACACACACGACTGATAGCACTGGGGGGCTCTGCAGTCAGGAGCTCGGATGCCCTGAAATCCCCATCCACAGGGGTGTGAAAGATGGAAAGAGCAAGAACAGGGAAGGCTCAGCAGGAGCAGAAAGAAGAGGTGCTTTAAGGACGGACTCAGGTCTGACCCCCAGCCCTTGCCCAGTGCCGCTCTGCTCACTCAGCCCACACCCACCCTGTAGATCCTGCCTCCCCTTCCTGACTTCTTGTCCCCGTCTCCTCCTCCCTGTCTCCTTTCTGTCTCACTTTCCCATCCTGTCCCCCTGCACACCTGCATCCTCTAAGTGAGGCAGCAGCACTGCAGGGCTCCCCAAAGGACCCCCAAGCTCCGGCCAGAGGAGCAGATCTGCCTCTGGCGCAGCCTCAGCTACACCAAGCACACGAATGACTGAGTGAAACAGGGCTGTGCGTGCATCCAGTGCTGTTTGCCTCAGTATTTTTATCCTACACTATTTTAAAATAATCAGCATTACTCTACAACTCCCTGCCTGCCTTAGCAGTGAGGCCCATGGGAGATACTCTTCAATTAAATTTGGCGGGGAGATTTCTCTCTGGGAGTCCCTTAATGGGGAAAAAAAAAAAAAAAAAAAAAAGTGCATTAGAACTTGCAGTAATTCCTGCCCCCACATTCGGATAAGCAGAACCAGTCTTGTCAGCATGAAACCACCACACTCAAAACAGAGTTTCAGATATGGAAATAAAAAAAAGGCTCTTACGTGGTGTCCTCCCACCGCTGCAGACACTGGCTATGAAAGCTGTGGTTACACAGCGTGGTAAGGATCCCGTTCACGGACTCATCCATCCTCTCCAGGCACACCGTGCACTTCGGGAGCTCCGTCAGATCCATCACAGGCAGGCTGGCCCCCTTCAAAACACCAAGCAGAGACAAATTGCTCAGCACCTTCCAATCACCATAAATAAAGCAGCCACATAAGAAAAAGTCAAAGTTCTCTCCCATTAGTGCTGGCATTAGGGTGCAAAACCACTACAGAGTAATCCTGTGGGGCTACACAGTGGTTAGAAATTCAGGAAAAAAAAAAACCAACAAAACGAAACACAACATGATCCACAGCATTCAATAGACCACAGCCAGGATCCTCATCACAGCACGGGCTCAGTGCGGTGGCTGCACCTGCAACCAGCCCCGTGCTGTTTTCTGGATTCACTCGATCTGTTGCCCATGGCGGGGACAGGTCAGAGACGCTGCAGACGTGAGGCACAAAGCCCGTGAAGTCACCGAACAAACTCCCCCAAGTAGCAGTGGAATGGGAAACGGGGTTTGGGTTGAGGCAGGAAAGCAGTTCTTACAGCGTCCTGCCCAGTCCAAATCATCCCGTTAAAATTCTCTGAAGTGCAGGGAAAACAAACCAAACCAAACCAAACCAAGCTTACATCTTCTGATTTGAAGACTTCAGCCCTTTCCACGTACACCAGCTGGCAAACATCCTCCTCTATAGAGTTGAACTGCCGGCCGTTGCACGCCATGTAAAAGCTATCTGCATCAGCCTGTGCACAAAACCAAGGAAACCAGTTAAAAAGAGAAAACTCACAGCTGATACAACCCAGGAAGAGGAGGAGAAATCAGCTGTACCCCCTCTTCTCCCCTCCACCAAGCCCCATAACACCAGAAGAGATATTTCAGCTCCTGCCAGCAAGGCACTGCATTTTGGCACCGGGTTTAGCATTACCACTTGAAGACAAGAAGTTCACGGCAACGACAGCTACTCTGACATCCGAGCATTCGGCAGGAATAACAGATTTCCCTTCAGAATCTGATTTGCCCTTTGTCAGCAATTTCAGTGTATTTGCAAAGCAAATTTGGTCTCTGCAAAAATTTAAAAGGGCCACATTGCAGGACACCGATACCCGTGTCAGGGAAAGAAAGAGCAATTTAACTGTGGGAAAGAATCCATTTCACTGGTCGCAATTCAGGCATGCTCGGAACTGTGCCCGAGAGGCACTTGTAAAGAGGCAGAACCAAAACAAAACCTGTCAAATACATCATCCACTTTCACTCAGTAACCTCCCCAAACCCTTTCTCCTGTAAAAGATTGCACCAGATCGAGGCAAATTAGCTGAAAGCCATATTCCCATATTCCTGCTCACTCCAGCCAGAAGCATTAAGGCTCTTTGAGATTTGCTTTTGCTACCTGCAGACACAGTCATTAGGGGTCACCGGGGAACAGGGCTTCAGGGAATTTCCTAAGGAACAGGAATTTCTGGGTGGATCGAGTCCAAGTTTATGGATTTGCTGCAAGGCCGTTTAGCACTAGGTATTTGCCCGTGTAACCTGATACAGCGAAGTACAAAATGCGTCTTTGCAACTACTGCAAAGAGCACAAAACGCACACAAACACTACTCCTGTGCAACAGGCATGGGAGATACCTCACACAGCATTCACGGCTGGGGGGAACCTCTCCCCGAACCCCAAAATAAATCATTTGCAGTTGGGAGAAGGTACAAGTCCCCATGGGAACTGGCAGGGGAAAAGCTTAAAGCTACGTAGTTCAAGAGGACCAATAAGCAGCAAATTCTGTTATCTGGTTATCAGTTCACCCCCTAGGCTCCCAGTTTTGGGGGTGACTGTCCTTCTCCCACTGTACTGGCAGTGGCTGTGAAACCACCCAGCTCCTCAGAAAAGCAGAATAAGCCTTTCCTAAAATGCAAACAAAGCCCCACTGGCTGGGTCCTTTCTGTTCAGCATAGTATAATGCACCACTCTCTTTTTTTAATATGCTTTGAGACAGCAGAGAACTGTGTATCCTTACTGTTTGGTTGGTTTTTTTTTTTTAATATCCTACCAACAAGAAATAGGATAGCTATCACGTGGCAGACACTTGCCTCCAGGTCAAGGTGTGGGACTAATCCTAGTCAGCAGCCCTGGGCAAGCCCTGGGCAAGAGGACAGGACTGTTTCTCCCAAGGTGACGCCCAATCTTGGCTAACAGCTGGCCAGTGAAGCCCGACAGTGCTCCCAATATACGACAGCACAGTCCCTTCTACAGCAAAGGGACTTCCAGCTCTTACCTGCGAGCTAAACTTTATCAGCACCATGTACTGGTTTGGAGTGGAATCTCGGATGATTTTCATGTGCTCGATTACTTCGTAGAAGGAGGCCACAAACTTCATCAGGTCATGGCTGGTCATCGTGGCAGGGACGGTGAGGATACACAGCATGGCACTGCGCCTCACATCTTCTTTTAGAGAGGTCATCTTGCTGATGAGACAACAGTGACACAACTTCATCTCAGTTCAGAGAGAGCAAAGGCACAGCTGGACACATCGCGTTACCAGCAACTGCAGTTACTACTACAGTAATTTTGTTGTCATGCTTAATCCTCTTTTGTACACTTGTAGTATTAAGAAAGAGAAGCAAGGGGTTGTGCTAAGAGCCCAACGTATCCACATGAAACTATTACTCTTTAGCAAAGGGTTAAACTGGGCGGCTCCAATAAACAATGATTTCGTCAGGAATAATTTGACATCTGTTTTTCTATAAGAACAGCTGAAGTGGGCAAGCCACAGGTGCTCAGAACTACTCCTAGAACAAGCGAGCAATGTTCGTTACTATTTGAAATGCCCATTTTGTGTCTCCTGACAGCTTTCAGGAAGACCTGAAATGGAAGTTCTCGCACAATTACAGGGGAACAGGGTGAAATTGTAATCCCTGAAACACGGGGTGAAACCTCCTGCCTCAGAGATCTCCTCAGGCCTGTCACCAAGACCCCAGAGATCACAATTTCATTGTGGGATCCCTTGAGAAGCTGCTTTCAACTGTCATTTCTAAGGAACCCACATTTATCTACAGCCCCTGGGACAAGCCCTCTCTTGACCCGGAGCCGCAGGACCAGGTCCAGCTTCAAGCTCCACCATTACCGCAAGGACCTGTCTGCACTCCTAGGTGCAAGTCACCCTTCCTGTTTGTCCCAGCTCAGGAGCCACAGCCCCGGGGTGACAGACTCACCCTTCCGGGTGACAGCATTATTCAGGAGCACTTGTTCCTACTAGAGCTACAATTAGTCAAGCATTCTTACTTTGTTTTGTACAGGTGCATAATGCCGTGAACAATTTCAACCGAGGGATTCCCGCTGAAGAAGGAAATCTGGTCAGGGAGCTGTTTTGATGGTGAGTCTGGAGCAGCCTCACGCTCTTTACTTTGATCGTCATGTTTATTTTTATCCTCGGCAGATGCAGCCTCTGAAGATTTTCTTCCTTCCACGGCAGCTTTTGTCTCATCTTTTACAAACCAAAAGTTTCCCCGTTACAAACGGCGCATCAGAAACCTCTGCTGTTGCCTAAGCACAGCCTGCATGTACACAACAGCACCCCGAGAAGTCAAATTACAACCCTGAAAAGCAGCAGAACGAGACACCTCTCATCCTCACTGTTCCAGGGGAAACTCCAGACCTGCCAGACACCCACCGCGAGCCCCCGGCAGGACCCTGCTGCTGCAGGTCAAGCCAGGAGAGTTTAGTACCATGCCTAGTGAAATCCCCAACAAGCACCAGTATCAACACAAAGCAACTGGGACAGGTTTGCTGAGCAGGGGTGAGGAGCAGGCTGCTCCTCCTGCGCTGCTCTGCTGGCAGCTCAGATATTTGACAAGACTCAGCGCTTCCATCCTTAAACTGCCGCTTTATCAGGGAATTTAAACGTCTGCAGAGCTGAATGGTTTTATTGCTACAAACCAGCAACGCTGTCAAGCAAAAAACTGACAAGCCCGCGGCACAATCTAAAGTAAATTAACCCTTTAGGAGCGGGAAATGTTTGCCAGAGGTAACCAGCTCTCCTATCCGGCCCCCGACAGACATTCCTTAACTTCTTTACTCGTTTTCCAAGCTGCGTGACTGACTCAAGACCCACAAACCCAGCAGCACCCCCACCGTCCCCACACTGACAGATCGCTGTCCCCGCTGGGGCCGGCGCCTGGAAACGGCTGCACTCCCCTCCCGCGACGAGGAGCTGCCCCACAAGCGGGGTGGGTGACAACCACGGCCCCGAAAAACAGCGTTACTCGCCCCCGAGGCCGGTACCTGGCCGCGGCTGGATGGTCTCAATGATCACGTCGGTCATTTCCCTGCGGCCGAGGTGCTGGTGGAGGATGGCCGCCCGCTCCCCGGGGCCTTTCCCTTCCAAACAGGACGGCACAGCGGCCGGGGCCGCCCCGGTGTTCTCCGCAGCCATCTCCGGAGCTGCGCAGGGAAGAGGAGGCGTTGGGAC